TCGCACAACAACTCTATCTTATTTAAATAATATTCTACATTTTGGGGAAGAGAGAGAGAGAGAGAGAGGGCTGGTGCTGCTTTCTTTTGTGTGCCCCCCACACCAGTGATTCTCCACCGTTCAAATGTGAAGTGGACTCTGTTTATCTGAAAGTGTGCTGGCAGACCGCCACCATATTTCTAAGATTAAAGAAAGGATCGAAAACAATCAGCTTTCTGAGGAACTAAAACCATGACAATATGTTTCTGATTAATTTACAAATATATGTATATATTTAAGGCTAAACTACAGAACCAGAAAATTCCTACTAGTTAGTCTATCACAAGCATTCTTACACTTTATTAGAACAGACATCATATTGAAATAATAAGCATGGGAGGCCTTCATTTCGCCTTTGATCTATATTACTAAATGTCTGACTGGCTCAGATTTAAAATAAACTTTGGTATGTTTGCACTTGAAAACTGGAAAAAGACCACAAGCAATAATTTGTTGTCAGTTTTCATATTCTCTAACTAAAACTATAGTTTAGTCTGCGCACTGCTGGGTGCCAGGCGCTGCTAGTCCAGGCATCCCCGTAGTGGCTAAACTTCCTTGTAGGAATAGGCACTGTAACATGGTAAGGACGATGATAGATCACCTCATCAGCGTGGAACTAGCCAAAATGAATGAAAGGTACAGGTCAGAGCTTTACATGTTTTCTGAATCATGCTGAATCTCTTGCAGACAAGTGTCATTACAGCCTTAAATACACAGGTATGTGTTGGCAAAAGGACACCAGAGAGCTCCTCTTTCTCTGAACATCTGAAGAACGTGACTGCTCGGCGAAACCGCTGCCAAATGTATCGTGCTGTAAGTTATTTAATGATGGCTGTTCTCTGTTGCTCTCCATGATTTTGAAATACTTCTTCTGTGTAAAATTTGTCCTGTCTTGTCAATTTGTTTCCAATGAATGAAACAATCATACTGGTGGTGAGGTGCCATGTGCATCCAGTATAGCTGGATTTTTTAAATCTTTTTTTGAGGCCTAGGAGTTTAAGCATGTATATATATGGTATAGTAATTTTACTCAGGTACAGATTATAAAATTTTGTATGAAACTGGCTTATCTACTTATTGAGGAAGATGCATTTAGAGGAAGAAACATGAAAGGGGGTTCTGATCAGAAGGTGAAAGTTCATCCCTAAAAATGTAGTGAATACTGCACACTATAGATTGTTACAAATATCAAGACTGAGAATACACTGACATCCTTTAACTTTTCTCAGCCTATTAAAAGTATTACTTGTCTGTTTAAGAATGAATACCAGTAACAAATGAGTTAACTCTCAAAGAAAAGGAAAGCTCTCTGAAAAATCTCATCACCTCTAAGTGTTCCCACCATATTCTAGTGCATAGAGCTCATTGCTTTATTCACCCCACCATGGGTATGACATGAACTCTTCAGTACTACTGGAGGGTCAAATATCAGCACCACAATACACCTAATTCTCCATGTACGATGATGAGAAAACTGTTTCAGCCACAGGACTGAGCACCAAAATGGATGCCCTTTGAATGCATGCAATGACTGCAACTTACTTAGAAGGGGGAAGAACCTCTGCATTCCAGGAGTTTCAAAACTCAACAGTGATGGAGAATGCTACAAGCATAGTCATCTGGTAGTCTACCCAGCATCTGGAGCTCCATTTACTGCATGGTTCTAGCTCCTTAAGATGCTGTCCATGTCACCACATCACTGACTTTTCAATACCTTAACTATGTACACAATCCCAACCGGGGATGGAAAAGAGAAGCTTTCACATACAGGACTACAGAAGGAAGATCACAAAACATGCTTTTAAAAAGCCTAAGGGTATCTTCTGAACCAAAAGCATCTCAAATTTTTTCACAACTCACTTTTTTGATCTGGCTCTCCTAGAATAAATACCCTTCTCTGTTACACGTGTACCTTGTGCAAGACACGTTGTATGGTAGTCAAGCACCAATGTCAACGTTTTGAACAGAAATACTTTCTACTTAAGTCCTTAAGAAGAGTACTCATATGAAAACAAGTGAGCACCAAGTACAGAGCCTGGGCTGGTGAATCAGAGCAGTTGTGGTTGAGGCAAAACCACACAAAGTGCTCTGTAGCTGTGTGGCTGTACATAAAGGATAGGTGTACCTTCTATATCGTATAGAGCTGAGTCGAGACATATAACTGCTAGCTGAGCTCAAACAAAGAGATTTTTTTAAATAAAACCAAAGCTGGAATAGACACTGCTTCCAGACTTAAATGCCCTATAACTACGATATTCCTAAGTGCTGCTCTGATGAATGAGGGACCAGGAGGACCCATGTTGCTGTGTTTTGCCTCTTTAGAGACATCAGGTAACAGATTCAAAGAGACAAGCTGATGTGCTAAGGAAGTTCAATATACATGAGAGGTTTGCTGATGACATATGGCTGCTTTTAGACACAACAACAAAGAAAGATGACCAGCTGTGTGGATTGCAGAATG